TATATATATATATATATATATATATTCAACGAACATTGAACGTATTCATAAACAAAACTGCGGTATTCGTAAAGAAGATCGAAGAGTATAGCTATGTCTCGTTACGTCGACCGATACAGATTATGTGACAAATCGATGCTAATTAACCGGACCAGGAAACCATTGGACTTTCTGAAAAGCACGAGAGATCGTGCACCGGCTCGAAGACTCCAACTCCTCCGCATTTGGAACGCCAGACGGTGCATCGGCCTCGAATAACATTCTATGTATGCTTTCCGAGAGTGAACGTTCGCTCGCCAAGCATTGGCGGCGACTCAGGCTAAATAGAGTCTAATTATTTCAGGCGTTTTCGCGTTGCAGTTCATTATCCGCGGTATCGGGCCTACGGTAACGCAGTAAAACGGATACGGAGTCGCTGGTAAAGCCACGAGACGCCGTCCTCGTAACAAACGCAGGCACGCGAATGGAAACGTCAATGGTGGCAACCGTCAATGAAATTCGAGACACTTGATCGACGATAAATTACTGGGAACTATGTTATCAGGTGGTTATCGATCCCGACGTGAAACGATCGATTATAATCAGGGTTTGCAATTCTCATCGATCGGCCGATCGATCTGCGACTCGGCCGACCTGTTGCATCGGAAAGCCAAAGTTTCTAGTTTCGTGAAAGTGGCGACAAACCGGCGGCAACCGGTTCAATGCAGTGAAAGTCTAGCGTTTTCACGCCGATCACGATCGATTAATCGAAAGAAATTTAATTCCTTGGGCGTGTGTGATGCACATGTCTGTGGAGAACCAAGAGAAACGTAGAGAAACGTAACAAACCTTGTGGGTCTTCCCGCAAAAAGTTACGTACGCGCAAACGCAAATGGGCTACTACTCGATTCGGTCGTCGGCGAAAAACGCGATGCAATTCGTATTATCACGAACCGATGCAACTGCACGGAACTGAGGAGGCTTGCTCCCTTTACTGTTTTCACTGACAGACTACGGGATTCTCTGGCAAACCATTTAACTTCTGCTCGCCTGTAGATACCATTCCCCCCACCCAGCACACTAGCAAAAGAGGCGTATACAAGGTGATCGGGAAGAGAGGATTTTGCTTTCCCGAGGACGGTTATTTGTGTGCGAAAAACGCACTGACTGGTTCGCGTACAGCCGCGCTGTTACATGCACTACGCTCAATTGCATGTAGTTGATGTCTGTCATTATGAGAGAACAATTACCATGCAAATACGATCATTTCATAGTCATTGATGTTTTTTTTTTTTTTATTTATAACGATAATTCCCAAGCCACGATGCAATAAAATCCGATCGATTAGATCGCGATTCGTATTTTCAACGTGACACGATTAAATTTCTTTAAATTTACACACGACGTAATTATCATTTTACATTCGTAAGCGTATATAATGCACTTTTGCAGCGCAAAATAAACGCGTCGCAATATTTGCATTGAATTAAATATCTCTTAAATTGATTATTCATGTTCTATATCTTTAGTCATGGTATGTTTATAAAAATACACTTTAAGAAACAGAGCCTATTCTTTGCAGTGCGCAGTACAGCAATTCTCTTTCCTACAAAATACAAAAATTACATAATTAAAGTCGGATGATTTTGCATTATATAACATAGAATATAGTACTCCTACACCGAAAGGAATTGTGCATCTCGATCCGCAATTCTTGTGAGGGAAGGGGGGAGAAAATAGAAGAGTAAGAAAACTCGCGTCGATGTCTCTGACGATTCGAACGATACAAAGTCCAACTCTCGACCTAAAAACGTCTCCCCTCTTGCCATCTAGCGACAAAGTTCCGTCCCTTTGGACGGTTTATCGTTCGTCGACAAAACGAACACCCTATAGGTGAACTTCGGACGATCAAGCTTGTTGCATTTATTTATGAACATACGACAAAGCGATTCGATCGTTAAGTCAACATCTGATTGTCGTCGATGACCCGATAATATGACACTCGTCGACGTGAATTGTTGTCATGTTTTCCAACGTTTATACGCAGTCTGCACTTAACTTTAATTATTGCACCCGGCACATTGTCGCGGCGTCGATGCGTCGGCGCGTCGTCATCGACGCCGACTCCGACGTCGCGTGCAGGTCCGTACAACGAGGGTCGCGAAACACGCGTCGAAAAGAAATTTCAACGAGCATTCGAAAAAGAACGGATGTCCATTCGCGATAAAGCACGAGTTATTGCTCGCTCGTCAGACACGTAAATGAAATGTTGAAAAATTTACACGAGTATCATCGGTTATAAGTCAACGAAACGACGACTTCGACTAAGTTCCACTGTTCAAGACTTATTATACAAAAGTCTAATTGTACGAGAAATGAACGGAATGTTTGGACACGTGGTGTCACGATAAAAACAAAATTTTCACGAATACGGAATAATTTCATTATCAAGTTGGTTAGTTACTAAGGCGATAAGTAGACAAGTAGATATCGAGCACCCTAGAAAGAGTCAGCCCTGTTCGTACAAAGGTAATGACGACGCCATGTCGACGTTCACCCCTATAGCTGATCCTCGCTGCAACCCCCGTTACGTCCCTAGTTGACCGTGAATCGCGAGCTAGTATATCGAGAAACGGGATTTTGCGTGTTACAAGTTGAAACGCCGAGGTTATCGCCGAGCACCAGGTCACTGTCGCTAGGCGAATCTGTGCTATGAATGAAGACCCAACCCTTTTATTTCGAGGTAATTAAAAGAGAAAGTCGGCCAAATTGACAAGTGTTTGTATCGACAGGCGGAATGGTCATCGTCTATTCGTCACGTCAGCCAGATTGCGTCATTGCGAATC